TGTCTCATTGTTGTTCGCACCGAATATGACACGCCCTCGCCCACCCGCCACACCGATTACTCATCACCACTGGCTCTCCCATGTTCCTGTGTTTCTCATCATTTTGAGTGTGTAGACCAGACGTTTATGTTCTACAATTCGTTGCTATCTCTTCTTCCACGTACGCGCACACCCCGGAGCTCTGTTTGCCACACTTCTGCTTCTTTGTCACTCGATACGGCATAATTCCCCAGAAAACTGTCGCCATTATTATCATCTGTTCAAAATCACAAACATCAATTCATACGGCATCATGTCTCGTCTTTACTTAGACTGCAGTCGGCGGTGAAAGATGATTTCCGATGCATGAATCAGCCTGATTCACGCCCGTCCACCTTCCGAGCGCTGTGACTATATTGTCTGGCCGGTTGTGGTGACTAACCTTGCTGACTCATTCGACAGCGTCCCTTTGTTGTTATTTGCGTCCGACATAAGGGTAGCCAGTCGGTCGACCGAAATGAGTCACAGGGTCATTGGGTGTGGGCGAATGTCTTGTGTTTTGGCCCGGGAGCACGTTTGTCTGGCAATCCGCCAACTGTTTTGCCTCCATGGTCGGTCCCCAATCGAGCCTGTCACTCATATCCACACGCTCCGAGAATGATTCACTTGTCCGCTCTCACCGCTGGGAGGAAATGTCGAGGTCGTAAGATGTTGGCTTGTCCAGGTGAGTTGCGCCAATTTGAGCCTGATTAAGTCATGCAAAGCCACCATGTGAACTTTGACCCCAGGCTAAACGGTTTTGCCCGGATCACATCGCCTAGCGGCTTGACGTGCGCCTGATGTCAGTGAGTGTGCCAATGCTGCTCGTTCAAGGCTACCTACCTGTTCCGGTGACTCGAATGTGGTTTTTCGCGCCGAACAATGCTCATGGCATATTAAATATGTTTGATACACGCAGATGACTCTCTCCAACATATACTGTCACTGCGGGCTTATATATTTCGTTGGGTCGATAAGTGCAGGTAGGGTTTTAGATTACGATGAAGTTCGAAAACTGTCACATTTTTTAAAAGGCCATTATGCAGTGGATGCAATTGGTCATCTAGGATTTTGAAAGAAAAGTTATTGCAGGCGTCAAAATAGCTAGAAACGATCTAACCAACCGGAGAATCTCTAGACAAACCATTGCACCTAGAAACGTGCTTTATCGATGATACCAATGAGGTGAAATCTTCGTGAACTAGTTCAGATAAGATAGAAGCGCAGTATATCTAAGCTACGGGATGCTGTAAGCACCCTGACTCCGGAAGCATAAAATGATAGTCTTCTGATTTTATGGAAGGTATCATAAACGTGTGTGCACCAAGTGGGGGGGGGGGTCTTGGAACAAGAAGCTAGCGAGATACTCGACAGTGGATGGTCGGTCAGTCAGCGTATGTACAAAACATCGGGGCGAGGAAGAGCAAATGTTTTGGAGACGTTGTAAGGGATCTGAATGAAGACCATTCCACCAGTTTTCTTGATCCCAGTTGAAACCTCTACCAAGCCTGAATAGTGGGGGCATACACCTTAGAGCAGCGTCGTATGCAAATTTGCACCTAATAAAATTAGATGATATAGGGAGACGGTCGACGTATAAACGAAACAGAACAAATGTTGCGATCACTCCCTGAAGCTCACCACAGTCGACGCAGACAGCACAAGACTTATTGCTGTTTAATTTGGTGAAGGAAGGGCGGTCCGTAAAATAGTCACACAGCAGATTGCATGCATATGGGCTAACTCCATTCCCGGGAAGCAGATTGCGCATCATTGATCTATCCAGGTTTCCGAAACCATTTGAATAATCTGGAGGAGGATGCCGTGCGGATTTACACTTTTGATACAGTGCAGGTGCCCTCGAAAGCAGTGTCACTTCATCCAATGCCGCGTTCTGAGGCCCATAGGCGAACTGATGGATATCGTTAACAGGATGGGACCGTGGTAATCCCCGTTATGAGCCGTTTTTTTAAAGATTTTCAGCAGCACAAATGTATCCGCAATCTGGCGATATTTATGAGATCCTTTTTTAGGCACCGGAGTTATTCCGGCCGATCTCCAAATGTCGGGGATCACACCTGTAGTGAGACATTTGTGGGGGATATCTGTTAGATCTAGTGTAAATGGATAAGCACAGTCGTTTAAAACTGTTGGTGTGGGACCAACTGGATCGTTAGCTGTCATTGACTTTAGTCCTTTGAGTTCCTTGTGAACACCGACTTGGTTAAACAAAATAACTGGATTTCAGCTGACGAAGAGAAGTCAAACTTAACATTTGGCTTGTCCACATCCGCCTCATCACTCTGGCTGCGGGCACGTTCACCACAGAGTTACCTCAAAATCTTTCCTAAATCACAGCAGTTATGGTTTCCCAAAGCTACTTCGATTTACAAAAGGTCCACTTTTTATCCCGCTTAAATTGCCCGGGTTAACTTCTTGATGTCAGTAATCGTATTACATTTGTAGTCTCGTCCTTTCATCCTTCGAAGTCGCTTCAGCAGCGGCGGTGAAAATCTGTCTGCCCGTAAGTGAATCACTTCAACAGGGCAACAGAGGTTGAAGTAAGCATAATGTAACCCGTAAGATGGTCACATTGAGTCGGCGGTTCACCGTCGTTTCTCTTGATATTCGCAATGCAGCCGTTTTCCATTTTGATAGTTTTGGAAGGTAATCTATTCGATGTGACAAACATGACTCCACTGAGCTGCTTAAGTTAGTCCCTTATTGTATGGAAAGCAACTGTACTTGGTGTAAACTGTATTCGGCTAATTGTGGAGAAAGCCACGAAATTTACGAGGCCACTTGTCTCCGTGAATTATGGATTCTCTCCATTGAAGTCGCCCTAACAACTGCACAAATACCATTCTAGTTTCAGCAGTGACATCGGTGAAACTTGATTCACACGAAGCTTCAACTACGGGATAAATGTGTCAAAAGCCATGTAGACTTTTCCGGCGATCACCGATTGAAATCCGCCCAGGTAATTTGGCTTGTGTTTGATTAGATGGCAGCTTATAGTAATCGTCGAATAAGTGAACAGTAGGGTTGTTGAATTACACCGACCTCGGTTACCGTAGGTAATGACACCTCTGCCCCGAAACTGGGGCTTTCCATGGGGTCAGACCTGGTGGGAAAGTAACTGTACCAACGATACGAAGCCTAAACTAAGTACCTCGTACGAAAAGTAAACTAGAAACTACAAACAAATAAACCCAGACTTAACACACGGTCTGGGCATAAGAATAAAACGAAGTATCCTGTAACCGTAGTTCTATAAGGCATATTAAATACAGTACATGACTTACGAATCGGTTTTGCAATCGCAGTGCAAGATGGCAGAAATTGTACAGCGTGCGACGACGTGCGAGTATTTGGGCAGTGTCATAGTAACATAATAATATGAATGACTTTGGAACGTCAAGGACATGTCAGTGATCGAGTGAAAGGAATACATATACGATATGGTAACCGATTGTAGGACACAATAAAGCAATGTAAAATGAGCAGAATAATCAGGGAATAGAGATACCATGTCCTCATGTAAGCAATCCAGGTTGGGGATACATCAAAGTTCCTTTTGGACTTTACGGTAACCATCGAATTGAATAGCCATCATCCACATCAGTATAAAACTAACCATTTTGTTACAGAATGCTGCCTCTATTCCATAATCTTTTCGCTAGATAAGAACACTGAGGTCATTTTTACGAAGGAAAGAGCGCACGTCACTGTAAAATATCGGTGAGACGCGCTTTTCCCACAAGTTAACAACTGAAACCACCTTGTCAACTACGACGATGCTTTCGTTTATCTTTGACGTTGCCTGCTCATTCATCTTAAGGTATTCGTATTCTCGTGACCCTACGCGAGGGCGCACGTGCATTATCACGGACTGCTTTCGAAGGTCTGATAGAGTAAGACAGCCTGATTGACCTCGACAGTAATTCGGGAAAATAACGTATCAAGAACATTCAACTGATGCGTGACATCCGCGGTCGAGAGCGCAAAGCAGCATTCCAATGTGATCGACAACAACGGCCGTGGCTGCCAATTGAAATGTGTACCCATTGTCTTGGTCTTCCTTCCAGCAATACTCTGTATACCGGTGTGGGGAACATTCAAATCATACTACGTAACTGCGCATCATGCACTAAGGGTGCATTACCTAGGTAGTGCGTAGAACGGACATGGTTAGATTGACGAATACTCGTTAAACAATAGGAAATCCACCTGTTTTAATTGTTTAGCTCCTGGTCTGAAAACATGAAGGAAACCGAGATTACAACGTTGTTGAAATGCTGCAAATTCTTCATAGTTCTCCAAGTAAGTCACAAACTATTCTTCGTAATAATGTCGTTGACACTGTTTTTGCTTTGATTAACGTCATTCCAGATTGCTAGAGAATTATTCCAACATTAGAACAGGGGCCGTACCGACGAAGAAGGATAAATAACCCATTCGATGTACGTCGGTGGCAGGATCCATGCTTGCTTAGAACACCGCCACCATTTCCACCAATACGTTCCGTTTAAACCCGATATTTGTGGCATCAGCTGAGCTCTTCACTTCTTTACCGGACCATCCTAGCGACATGCAACCGTTGACAACTACTCGTGCTTTGTGTTTACGCTGTCGTAGTTACTGTCCCATCTCGTCAATCGACACTCTAATCATCTGCTAACTGACTTGGTCTCAGGAAACAGCAGCACCCAAGTGAAACGGTTCTCGGCAAGAACGCAATCCAGTCGTTTTTATTGCTTACCGATCCATACATTGAACTGTTTAGAAGTACGTGCCCTTCCTATGGCCAATAGATTTGCATTCACATCGTGATCACTGTCATCGGGTCCCACAGCTATGGCTTCCGTGATGAACTGGTAGACGAGCTCGGGTTACTTATCCCGCCGCATTGATTGCGTTCGACGGACTTACCTCACCAAATTATCTCTGTCTTTCTCCCTCCCCATCTCCCTCCATTTCAGACTAGGTCGCAAATTAGCCTCTATTGTGTCCAAAATCGAGGGCCAACACATGCGCTTGGTCCACTTGCGACACCATTATCTTGGCAAATCCTTCGATTCCTATTCCCAATCGGGTGAACTTGATCCTGTCAGCGGTGCCACCATGGAACTCTCCCCTGACCTTATCGAACCGAATTTGGAGCGGCTAGCAGATGTTCCTGGGAGTCCCGGGCCCAGTCTATTTGCCATCTATTGGATCGTGAGAAGACTGATGCCTTCCACGGACAGTAGCGGAATCTCAACGGATGATTCAGTAGGGGACGTCGGAGGTATGCACTGTACCAGTTCTCAGCCTCTTCTTAGGTCATATGAGAGCCGCCCTCACTGTTTGTATGATAAGCACACACCCGCACCTTTATCTGGTATAGCACGAGGAAGCTACAGCTACTTCATACGCACTAAAGGAGCACACTGTGCCGAAAACCGTATTCACGGGACTAAAACGTCCATTTCAACTCCCATTCTTGCTAGTCAGTGTAACCGTTTTTCATTTGCGAACAATGGCTACTTTCCTCTAACCGGGAGTAGTGTCATTGCCAACCCCGTGCGATGTTGTGCTTCGTCAGAGTGCTTATCTCGTTCCATCTATTGCAACTGATTCTTGGTCATGACGCAGGCAAACAGACGGGACAATGAACCATTGATCGCATCACTTTTCTCTCTCATCATCAACCTCCCCCCATCTTTTGCTCCAGATCACTTCCTCTTTTTCTCTCTCTCGCATTTTCAGCTCCGACACCTCAACTTCGAAAAGACGGTAACACCGGCCGGCTCACCAGGAAATACGAAGATTTACTATTCTCTTGCCTTCAGTCCATCCAGCTTCTTTGTCAGTCATGGGCTGGTCAACCTTCCCTAGGAGCTTTTGTCCCCACCGCCAAAATGTCTCCGAAGCCAGTCACTACAATGGCGATCGGCGTCACGGATTCGACCACCACGAGCACATCGGATTCCTTCTCCTTAACCAATCCTAGTCGAATTGGTGTGGCAGTTCCTCAGCCAAAAGGTCTTGTGTTGGCCGTCTCCACTGCGGTAGTGCGTTCGCTTGTCATACTGTCCGATCTGTTCACTACTCGTGAACAGTTTGAGTGGCTCAAGCTGTACCTGAAAGAAGGTATGTCCATGTGAACAACGCACTGACTCACTGGGCCAAATCCGTTTTAACTCGTGTCTTGTCGAATCCATCCTTACCGACCTTCTGTCCGCTCAAAGACAATATGCTCCTTCTGAGCATTTACTTTGTCACTGATCCATTTATAGGCCAGACGTCATTAGCGAATTCTCGGTTTTTACCAAGTTCCGCTGCGCTCAGGTTGGGCCCACATCATCATCGAAAATAAAATTAGAAAAACAAGCTCGTTCGATGCGTCTCGTCAAAACTAGGGATATATCCCTTGATCGCGGAAACCGTACTAGTTGATCGTAGGCAGCACTATTTTACACCCTTTTTTACACCTTAGTGGACCTACACTTCATCGTAATTGTCACCACTTTTGGTTTCCGCCGCGGGCTACAGTTCTCAGGAGCGTTTCCTCCCCGAACGCTAGCTGACAACGTTGCGCACCTCCACAGACAAGTCTTGGTGATATGAGAAATGTTATCGAGAGGGGCCCAGAGTTATCAGTCACACTCGTTCCTCCAACGTGAATCGCGTGCTTGTTTCGCTGCACCCATCCAGTATTTCTTTGTGTGGCCCTTTCATGGTACCTTAGCAAGAATCCATTGGTTTGTACACGAAGGCTCATACGGTTCCCTTGAGTCCCAAATACCGTGGCTCCAGGTTAACCTCTGTTTCCATGTGTACTCTTGTGATCAGCATGCAGTTGCACGAAGTGATGCGTCTCGTCGAACACTGGTTTTTTAAGAATGTTATCAGTTGCCTCACATGCATGGTGGATTGTCTTTTATAAACTGGGGCAGACGGAAGCGCTCGCAAACATACGTAGGAGCGAATCGGACAACGTTGCCCACTACTTTGGTTCTTACTACCGAACCGATTATCTCTTGCAACCGCTGACCCCAGCACATGCATACGCTCTTGCCACCAACTTTACTGACCGTCAGTGTTCGAATGCTTTTCTGGCCGCTGGTGCACTGGTCTGCAATTATTTCTTGAAGAAATAGCTTTCAACTGTACAGTTTCACTCATACATCAAACTCGCGTTGTCTAATGCTCTCAGGGAATTATGACCTCTCCCGTATACCTCTCCCCCCCATCTAACTAACATGCAGTTCTACAGCGGTTACCGTCCCCGGCCGAATTCCCAGCCCCCATTCACACATGGCTGACGCTAGGACTGGCCAAATGCACGGCGGTGCTTGAGTTAGTCCAAGATTGCCCGAACGCCGATGTTCTGCATTCTTCGTCTCTTGAACCGGCGGTTCGTCAAACTATCCATGCACTCCAGTCCACCGTAATCCCCATCCAGGATGCCGGTTTGCAAGCATCCATGTGGTTACTGCATTCAGCCATCCTTATACGCACACAGCCCCATCAGAGCCACCTGCAACAACACAGTCCTCCCACGGGTTCCTCTGTCCTGAACGAATTGTACACGCAGGTAAGTCTTGGTCGGTTTTATCTTAAACAGAGTTTCTCCTAATCTGTTGCATATGTGGTCAACCTTATTCTCTGCTCAACCAAACTTGAAATATTAAATTTTTGCCACAGCACTACTCTCCCACTCTGCTCCCAGGTTTGTGTATTCGTCGAAAGGAAGCTGGCTACTATTTTCGGACCACTGCCACCTGTTCGTGCTTCATCTGAAGCGATCCGTAGTGGCACACTGCCTCCACGAAGAAGACCTGTCGGTGGCGGTAGTATGCGATGGAACCAAGCAGCGGCTTTGGGAACAACCGGGTTGAAGAAATTGATGGCTGGGGCCTTTGGCTCCTCAATCAGTGCCAAAGGAGGAGGAGGCGGTGCCCACACTCTTTACGATGGCACTGAATCGAACGGTAAGCACGTCTCTTCTCTGCATCTGATGTCTACCAGTTGGCATGGAATCCACTTAGCTAGTAAAGTATTATCTGGTGGATCACACAACCGAACACGTATTCGGTGCTGTGCACATTTGCACACTTTCATTCAGTGGTATGCCGACAATCACTCGAATAACCTGATCAACATTTATCCGACTTCTCTCTGTCGGTGGTCTGAGTGATGCATTTTAGTTGAATTAGCAGCAAAATTATGTGCTTTTTTCATCACACCACACCTTCCATCATCACTTGCATATGCTGTGGCGGAACTCTGATGTACTATCCGGTCCATAGTTACAATCGATCCTTTACACGGTTTTAGTCTCGCTCCAACCTTTAAGTTCATTAATCCATTCACTGTCTATTTGCAGTTTCCCCACCTAGTCCGGTCGATCGAACTGAGCGGCATCAACTCACGGTTTTGGCGACCGCCTTCTTTCTCACTGAACACTTCTCAGCACCGCCTGTCTATCCCGTTTTGATGGACTTTGGCTCCGGTCTGACTGAGATGTTGTCCGGTCTCACTTGCAGCTTGTTTAAACTCAGTGCGGATATGCTGTCGGATGCCACTCCGCCTGCCGCAAAGGATCGCCCGCCTCTCCCATGCAACGTGAGTTCAATGGTCTCGGGGGAGCAGTAATTACCGCTTATTTTGCTACTTTTTGTGTGACAAGCTTCTTATTTCACTCTCTTATAATCTCCGCCTTCATTCTTTGGAGAAGGCCATCGCCCTGGCCACTATAGTTTGGTTCTCATAGGTCTTGGCTCCCGTTTCGTGCTATCCCTGCTATGAGCACACTCTCAATCAAGGATATCTCGTCCCTAATCTATTAGATTCATCTAATCACCGAGGTACCTATCGATTGTACTCCCCATCGACCTGGTTCGATACATCATTAACTCGATCGATAAACCGGCAACCTAATTCTCTGCCAAGAACCAGTTGAGAAACGTGTTGAAAACTGTCTAACTCACATAGTTTGGCCTAATTTACGAGTCACGTCCGTTTTTTAGGTCGTGCTTTGAACACACTCGTTAGATAACACTCAACTCAGTATTGGACTTCGTGTTTTTCTGCAATACAAAATTGTTTTCCTGACTTTTATAATGAGCACTGTTAAATATTGCTTCGTCTATAAATGAATCGCGGGACCGATATTCCCCCTTCACGGACTGCACACCCGTTTTCCTCTCTCTCTCTCTCTCTCTCCATCCCTCCGTGTGGCCCCTTTAGCGCTACGCTCTCTTGGATTCGGGGACCACGAGGAGTCTGTGTTGCCCCTTGTCTGTTCACACTGCCTGGTGCCGAGGCGTCGGACGGTTGGTGCTGCTAGGCCGGTTGGGCAAAGGTGCCACTGAGGTGAGTGTGACCACGCATGCTTGGTCTCAACGGTGAACGAAACGCTCCTCAATCGATCACCAGCCGCGACTGTATTGCCATACTGATCACACACCAGTGTTTATTGTCTTGTAAAGTTGTTGATGACTTACAGCGATAGCGCGTTGTTGTCCTGCGTGTTCCGATCCTGCTCCCCCTCACAGTACACACCCACGTCAATGGCTAATCGCTTGAGCGGTCGGAATTAGTCACCTGCTGTTGTAACGATTCCACCCACTCCGCCAGTGAGAACACGAGGGACGACTGAACCGGAGCATCTATGTTTCAATGGGCGATCGTGTATTTTCAGGAAACAAACTATGAAGGAGCATGACATAAAACAGAAAAACCCATGTACTAATATCTGGAGCTAAAGTTAACTAGTGAATCTCAGATCAACTTCCATTCCAATGCGGTAGATCTGTGCATTTGACTACAGCCTGTCCCAAAACTCTGGCCCCTATACCTGTTAACGCGGGACAAAGCGTCCCTCCTTCGGGTGTGAGGTAGAGTGCACTAAATTCCCAACTGTCCAATAGTAGATGTTGGTCTATCTCAAAATGTCTCTCAACCGGTCACACGGGAGTGGAACGACCGTATGCATGCATGTGGGTACATGTGTACTTGCCAGTCTCGTCCATCGTGAAACCGCTGCGTCAGGCACGGATGGTTGAGTTGGAGTCAACCTTCGACACACCACAAGGGACTTTCACCGATCGCTACATACGGTGTGTAGGGCTGGTTGGACCGGAGAAAGGCGTACAAACTCGAAACAGCAGTGCCTCATTACCGGGCGACTGCGGTAGAATTGTGGTGGCGCTTCGACAGGCGTAACTGGCCTGAACAAAGAGTGTGCAATAGGTGCTTCGTGTTATCCCAGCTAATGACAAGAGGATTTTTGACAATGCTCTTGTAGACTGAAAGTTACCTTCCAACAACCTACCATAGTAAAATAGACATTCCTTACAATTAGGCCTTGCAAATATGAAATGTGACGTTTTGAGAAAGGAGTCTTGAAAAGCTATGCCGCCTAAAGATTACTCGCTGCCGCAAAGCTTATGCCTCCATCGCAGTATTGATCGCCGTTGCAGGAGATAAGTGTGGTTACTCTGCCCGACTTGTTTCAGGCGGGACCATGAGCGTTCATTCCAACATATTCAATGATGAGGCAATGTTCCGTCAGCACGGAACTGGGAAGCTGCATTTCTAGGCAATATCTAATCCTCACGGATACTGAGAATCACGTATTTCACAAGGCGCGAAGCTCATTGGCTCGAAAAAATGAATGACAAATCGTGGGACCACAGCACACGCATGTGTGTTCTCACTCATACTGTACACCACACGCACTTTATCCTTGGGATGACTTTGTTGGCATATTATGCTGCAAACCGATTATCAAATTCAATTGCAGGAATTGCTATCCAATAGCATCAGGCGAATACTGCACTGCAAGAGAAACGACGGTGGTCATTTTGAACTTCCACTTCGTTGACTTTTATGACGGGTAAGTTGATTTATTCACAGAACTAACGCTCCACGTTTCAATTGCCCCCATAGAAAGAAATCCATACTCTGAACTGCCTAAAGCCGTACACGTACATAAGACTACGTATGAGTGCGCTTGCTTGCCAGTGTGTCCGAAGCTACTTTCTCCCAACATTGCACTCCACACACGACGGGTTTCGTCCTGATTTAGACCAGTTCAAAATCCTATAATGGAAAACAAGAATGCAAAATCACTGGTACAAAAGGCAACAAATTTCGATTTGTTTTGTTATTGTATTTTGTTTTTTAGGTCTTTTTCAAATACTTTACGTTTGAACTGCCAATTTTGAATTTTCCGGGTGAAATTTTAATAGGTCACGCATCCCTGTTTAGCCACCTGCTTTTTGTAAGGAAATCGATTCAATAACCTTTGATTCAAACTCATCGTGGTGCAATCGCCTGATGCTGGAATTCTCGAAACTTTTTGCAACATCACCTATTGTTTCAACAATTGATTTCCGTCCGGAAGATTAGCACGCCGTTGCGCCTTTTTTGGTGCAGTAAGCATGTATATGCTCAGCGAAAATCGTAACACACAATGTGTTGTTTATGCCCTGATTACATCTGCATTAACAAGATGTACTCAAGCTTTCCCTATGTCTGATGCTGTATTGCTTGAGTTACATCGCATCGTAAGCGACCTTCTATAACATTTTGTATCTCGGTAAATGTCTAACGGCAAATAAATTCCTGTGAGTAAATCTGCAGGAATAACTTGGATAACATAGGCCAGAGTTCAGTCCCTACGTGCTTAGGCTAATATGTTACTACAGGTGCATAACCATGAGACAACGTGTTCCCCACCAATTCATGCATATGCCTCTCATTTGCTGAATGCTTACGGATTCAGTGATAAAACTACCACGAAAATTGAACTAAATTCATCGACACACTTAGCACACTTGTTTAGGTGATTTGCCGACTAAATGATTCTTGCGTAGTTAGTGTACACTCGGAATAACGGATTAGCAACTTGGGAGTAGCTATTTGTGAGAAGACAAAGAAAGTGATACCTAATTGATTATTTATAAAATTATAAAGGTAGCTTCGGACACGTTGGCAAGCAAGCGCACTCATACGTAGTCTTATGTACGTGTACGGCTTTAGGCAGTTCAGAGTATGGATTTCTTTCTATGGGGGCAATTGAAACGTGGAGCGTTAGTTCTGTGAATAAATCAACTTACCCGTCATAAAAGTCAACGAAGTGGAAGTTCAAAATGACCACCGTCGTTTCTCTTGCAGTGCAGTATTCGCCTGATGCTATTGGATAGCAATTCCTGCAATTGAATTTGATAATCGGTTTGCAGCATAATATGCCAACAAAGTTATCACATGGATAACGTGCTTGTGGTGCACAGTATGAGTGAGAACCCACATGCGTGTGCTGTGGTTCCATGATTTGTCATTCATTTTTTCGAGCCAATAAGCTTCGCGCCTTGTGAAATACGTGATTCTCAGTATCCGTGAGGATTAGATATTGCCTAGAAATGCAGCTTCCCAGTTCCGTGCTGACGGAACATTGCCTCATCATTGAATATGTTGGAATGAACGCTCATGGTCCCGCCTGAAACAAGTCGGGCAGCGTAACCACACTTATCTCTTGCAACGGCGATCAATACTGCGATGGAGGCATAAGCTTTGCGGCAGCGAGTAATCTTTAGGCGGCATAGCTTTTCAAGACTCCTTTCTCAAAACGTCACATTTCATATTTGCAAGGCCTAATTGTAAGGAATGTCTATTTTACTATGGTAGGTTGTTGGAAGGTAACTTTCAGTCTACAAGAGCATTGTCAAAAATCCTCTTGTCATTAGCTGGGATAACACGAAGCACCTATTGCACACTCTTTGTTCAGGCCAGTTACGCCTGTCGAAGCGCCACCACAATTCTACCGCAGTCGCCCGGTAATGAGGCACTGCTGTTTCGAGTTTGTACGCCTTTCTCCGGTCCAACCAGCCCTACACACCGTATGTAGCGATCGGTGAAAGTCCCTTGTGGTGTGTCGAAGGTTGACTCCAACTCAACCATCCGTGCCTGACGCAGCGGTTTCACGATGGACGAGACTGGCAAGTACACATGTACCCACATGCATGCATACGGTCGTTCCACTCCCGTGTGACCGGTTGAGAGACATTTTGAGATAGATCAACATATACTACTGGACAGTTGGGAATTTAGTGCACTCTACCTCACACCCGAAGGAGGGACGCTTTGTCCCGCGTTAACAGGTATAGGGGCCAGAGTTTTGGGACAGGCTGTAGAATATCCTGCATCATCGATCCATCAATCAGGTTCGGTTGCTACGTTGCGACTGCAGTCCACTTCCCAATCATGAATTCATGGTTCCCTTCGTATTTTTCAATGGACTTATCAGATTTTGGAATCACTGGCCCTGGCGAAATCTGACATGAATATTTACTGTACTGTTTTTATCCGTTTTGTCGTGCCCACGCTCTCGTAATTTTTTCGTGTTGTGGTGTACTTCCTTACACAGTACAGATATATGTGCCCGTTGCCCCTGCCAGTTTGCGTCATCACTCGGTTTGTTCATGCCAAACACGGCTTCTACCACACCTCAGCGCTTTCATTAACCTTTCCCTTTCCTCGCGTGTATATGTGTGTCGCGTGTCCATTTTTTAGAGTCTGATGAAGATGTGCATTGCTCGCGTGCGCACGTGCCGTTCCCCCCTGATTAGTTTTCCTGTGTTACGTCTCCTGATCACTTGCGTGTACGCCAGTACGGGACGCCTGACAGCGCAGCTGCAGAATTACTCCCATGGATCAGGGCCTTCGTCTGAACCGCGGACGCACAACACTGCTTCGGGACAGGGCGATGCCACTTCCGTCATCGGTGGGTGATTGTTATCACGTCTGCTTTGCTCGCTACTTCATTTGCATTTTAAACCCTAATTACTCCGACATTACCTCACAGATCAACCTGAAGAGTTTGCATAACGCCCAATCCCCTCAAGTGAACAAGAGTGCGCACCTAATTTCCCCGTGACCGCTGCGGTTATCGATCACAGATTTCCTTGTCACTGTAACCAACTTTTGTTACACTCACAGTTGTAAGAGAGTAGTTCGACCAGATGGTATCGCTCTGTTCTAGTGCCCTGTGCACTAGAGGTTTGTTAGCTTTCGCTTTTCAGACTGAACGGCTGCGTGTCAGGTCGGGTGGTGAGTTACTGAGGGGAACCAACGAGTCGCCTACTGGTGGCAGCACAGTTCAGACGACACTGCATGATGTAATGCACCAGATTTCACAGCATTCTCAATCTCGCAAACCGCATCGCAGGATGCCACAATGCTGCTGCTCGTTTGGCCGTCTGACTGCCAACTTTGTCTGTTCAGATAGCCCGGTTGTGCCTACTTACCTCATATCTAAATTATTCGACATCAAGCCATTATTCAGCCTCCGGTTTGTAACTCATCCGGGCATGCACACCCTGATGACGTTGAAGCGCTCAATTAAATGACTACACTGGGATTCACACACCCCGCAGATTGTTTGTGCCTACTGGTCGCAGGATTTCTACTTTTCGCTTGTCTCGAACCTGGGAGGTCTATCCCTGTACTCTGTCTCCAGGAAACCTAGGAATATGTACCCTTTTGTTAACCACACGATGATAAGTGTAGTTCATCACAGTAGTTACAGCGGGGTAATCACTAGGTATCCGAACAAGTGCACCATTTCCCACAGACTACTGATGCCATTCGCGGTCCATGGACTCCCACTTCCGAATTCTACCAACCCTAAGTACGTCAACACAGGACTCCGTAACCATACTATCCAAGTGTGTGCGCTCCACACTGTGTTGTGGTCCGGAGTTTTGAGTCAAACGCTAAGCACTCATGTCCTCGAATAGCGATCCTCAACCAAAATTCTCCTGTACTATTTGCCTTTCCTCCTCTGTTCCATCTCCGTTATAAATTTCTACTTCTATGCTTAAGCAATGTTATGATGCGTTTTCGAAATCTAGAAGTCTGGCCGTACCGCGCGATCAAGACTCTATTTACATTAAGAATAAAGCGCTATTTATGCGTTACAGAACATTACAGGGAGGTCCAGTAGCGGATATGGTGTCCACCTCCTTGGCCCCGTATCAAACCCTCTCTGTCTGGCCATTTCACACTGGCTAAGCGGTCCTGACCATGGCGTCTAAACTGTCCCCTCTCCACGACATTCGGCTTCCCTGTCTCATCGAGCTAGTCTCTGTTCTCCAACTCTGGCATTGTATTCGTTTACACGGCGGTGGTAGAGCAGTTCTCACGTTTCGTCTCTCACCACACCCTTCACTTTTTCGGTTTTGGTCCGTCGATCATTGAGGCGCGGTACACTTTGCCACTTCATGTCCTCTCTGTCATTTCCTTCTGCTATACTCTGTAATATCCCGTCGATTTTGTCGCTGGCTCGCCACCTCGTTACTTGGTGGCTGCCCCTTCAGATAAATGGAGGCCAAAAGGTCACCAACTCTGCCATCGCCACGCATCTTGCGGCTACGGGTCACGCCACCAAGTCGGCTGATTCGTTCAAAGTAATCTATCAGGCCCCAGAAAATCGATCAAAGTATTTCCGTAAGCGGATATTAGACGCCGCAGAAGCCATCGCCATTCGGCTGTACGGACCAGCACTGTGCCCGCAGAAAAGGTTCACTCACGCATTGAGTCTACCTTGGCCAGGACGAACTGCAGTTGACCTGTACGCGCGTACGACTACGACTGGAACCTAACCGACGGTTTGTCACAGCGCACTAGGATCAATTTGGCTGACTGACGACCCGTTGGGTCTGTATACAAAAACTTTGCATTTCATGTACTTGTAAAAACTTGATGAATAATTACCGGAAACATATGTTCGCTTACACAGATTCCTGATCAACCAATGGGTTTTTCAATTCAAATCTGGTTTCATCGATACAACCCATTGCCCGCCCTGACTTCGTAACTGCTCTCTCCTTCGTGAGTTTTTACAGCCCCTCGGCTCCACCGTTTCTAAACTCCGGGAGCCACTTGTATTCACACATCCACAACAATCCGAAGTGGCAGTAACTCTTGCTCCGCGATCACAATAGCGTTTTTGACGGAGCATTCGCTTTTTTAATGCGCTGTGCATCATAACCGGTAATGGCACTTCCGCTTGGAGCAGAATCTTGGTACTAGACGGCAGAGTTCTCGTTCTGCGGCCAAACAATCTTTGCGAAGATAACGTCCCGATTTCCGGAGACGGAATGTTTCTTCGCTCCGGAATCAGGACGTTAGGACCATCATGTAGCTCCTTCCCTTTGGTGAGTAATCTCTTTGCATCCTTCACCTTTGCCTCCGCCTTGCCGTTGGATTGACTGTGGTAACGTCTATGATGGCGATGCTCGAATTCTCATTTCTTGGTGAAAGCTCTGACTCTCTACAGTAAACTGCGTTTCATTTTTCGAGGTTACTTCGTCAGGGATTCCGTGTCGATCAAAATGACAATGCGGCTCGTTTACCACAGCCTACGCGTTACTTGTGAGTAGGGCACCAGTCTAAACATAATCACTGTATTAGTCTACAGGGATCATTAGCACCGTCCCGCTCCCGTGCTGACAGCTGCCACACTGTACTTCGAGAGGTAGGGATGCATCGAAATAGGCAAGTATTGGGGTCTCTGCGATTAGGTTCTTTTGTAACACGCAAGCACGGAAGAATTCCAAGGGCTGAGAACGAAGTTCTATTACACAACACGTAGCCTCTACAAAAGGTAATAAACATGAGGTAAATTGGAACAAAGGAAGTTACAGTTAACGAATGTCGTGTTCTTGTTCTCCTCCGGTAATTGAGCAGCAAAGGCGCTCTGAAAGGCAAACGGGAGAGAGTGCCGTTATGGCAACGATTCAACTTTGAACGCTCGCCAAAACAATATCGGTTCTTCTCTACACTTTATTTGGCTGAAAGCTTTCGCTTGGTCACTGCCCCCAATGCTAGGCCTCACCTTTGTGAGTCAATTTCCGTATAGGTACCATCGCTTCGGCCAGTCTCTGTAGAAAACGGCTTTGGTAGTTAACCATTCCATTCAATCGGCTGACTTCTTTACCATCCACCGGTGGTGGCATTTCTATGATGGCCGTTATCGTTTTTGGATATGGCTTCACACCCTGACTGCTTAAAACGTGGCCATGAAATACCACCTCCGGTTTGCCTACATCGATTTTGTCGCGCTTCAGTTTGATATTCTTAGCACATCGTTGGCGAAGCAGATTCAGGCGACGGTCAGGCTCTTCTGCTGTGAAACCAGATATTTGCACGTCGTCCACTACGCAAATGGTTCTTGTCAAACCCTCTAGCGCTTGTACTGGACGTTTCTGAAAGATCTCGCTCTAAACCTTTAATCCAAATGATCTACACACCCACCGGAATCGTTCGAATGGTGTGCCGAACCTTGTCATATAGCTGGATTCTTCGTCCGACACGATATGCCAAAATGCCGAAGCTAGATCGACCTACTTGAACAACTTTAATTTTGATTGTCCTGGTAAAATACCATCCATTGTCGGCACGCTGTAGTATTCTCTTTGTAGAGCGACTTTAAGTGGCCTTGTGTCAATACACACACGTAAATCGCCGAACTTCTTAGTGATAGCTGCTACTTGGCTGACCCAAGCTATCGGTTCGTCCACTCTGGTTATTACCCCAAGTGCAGTTAGGCGTTCCAACTCTCGAGAAAAGTTTACGCACAATGCTATAGGCACCTTCCTAGCCGGTAGAACTACTGCCATATCAGACTCGTTTAACGACAGATTTGCGGACCCATCAAATCTCCCCACTGCTTCATCAAACACGCTGGGATAACGATCCATGATATCTGTGGCTAACTGACACGAATTCACAAAGCGTTCATAGTTAAAAGAAACAAAACCGAGCTGCTGAATTCTGATCGAGGCCCAGGATGGTCACCAAATCTCCACGTAACATGACAAACTCTATGTGATGACCTATTCCATCCCTTGGGTTGGTGACTTCCAATATAACGCTACCTTTTAGGCTGCCATTTTGAGCTATTGCACACTTTGCAACACTGTTTTTTCTTTGCCACGCCACACTCCAGGACGTTATTTCTCTGGCGGGATGTTAACTATGTCCAACTGGAAGCGCAAAGCTTTCTCCTCGACAATCAGCTTCACATGGACACTTTTTTTAGCACTCAGACCTCTGGGGTAACCGGCTAATCGTCACAGTCGAAAAGATTCACTTTCCTTGAGTGACGACATTGCGCAAAGTGGTTTTTCTTCTAGCACTTCATGCATGTCTTACCTCAGGCTAGGCAGCTTTCCTTTCGCGGGTGGTGACATCGGCCACAATAATGACAGTTTGGTTCCCGCCCACGGATAGATCGCGACACGGCAAAGTTGGGCCGGTAAACGGCGCATATTTCAGCAAACTTTTCCGACTTAATGCGGTGTAACTGGGATACGGTTGTCGTTTCACTATTGCAAATGTCAATGCGGTGCTGAAAAGACTGGTCTCTTTGTTGTAGCATCCTCTGGGTAATGTTCTCGTCCTGGACACCGAGTACAATTCGATCTCTTATCAGGGAAACGTGTAGGCATTCGCACAAATTGTACGTTCTTGCCAATATTTTCAGCCCGGTGACATAGTTATTGACTGATACACCAGAGAGGCGGTTTCGACCAAAAACTAAATAGCATTGGCAAGTTTCATTTCTCTTTTCTTCGCAAAAGTCACCGAACTTTTGCATCAGTGTTCAAACCTTGATTTCACCGTCCAGATTCATTGTCTCCACTATACCCGTCTTGCGTCATCGCCATTCGTATGTCGGAACATTGCCGACTGCTAATCTGCCGGCAGGTTGTGTAACTGCGTCAGTGTGGCGAAATTCATCCACTTCACCTTCCACAGTTGCCACTCTTCAGGCAATTAACTCGATATGAAAATCGATGGCTGCCCTCCAATTTACTTCTGTGGTTTGCTTCCTGGGTTTTTTCTTCTTGCCACCATGTTGTGTTGTGCTCTGGAAATCTAGAAGTCGGACTGCGCCGCGCGATCAAGACTCTATTTACATTAAGAATAAAGCGCTATTTATGTGTTACAGAACATTACAGGGACGTCCAGTAGCTGGTATGGTGTCTACCTCCTTGGCCCTGTATCTCATCACGCCCTCTCGGTCGGGCCATCTGACGCTTTCTAAGCGTTCAAACTGTCCCCTTTCCACGTCGTTCGGCTTCGCCGTCTCATCGAGCCAGCTCCTGTTCTCAAACTCTGGCATTGTATTCGTTTGCACGGCGGTGGTTGAGCGATTCTCACGTTTCGCCTCTCGCCGCAACCAACAGGAACCTACCAATGATTCCTCAACTTTTGATAACAGTGTACCCGGTACCTAGATCAAAACAAGACTCATTTTACATAACCATGTCTTTTCTGTCCCCTTCTCCACCTGTTGATCTACTGAACTCAAAGCACGCCGACGGTATGGTGCTTTTGAACTGGAACATGACTAACCTAGCACAACTGCCGCACACTTTGTCGCATTTTTCTCGCTATTGCCTTGCATAACGCTGGTATAGGACAGCTGATGTTGCCTCTAGAGTAGGAGTTTTGGTTAATCTATCTAGGCAACTGCGTTAACCTGGATTCACACCACTGAAACGGTTGCTGTGTGCACCGGTAAAGCCGGACGGCCCTTTATCATCGTAACCACCCGTGGAGACTAGGTGCTCAATTTTCAACATAGCGTACGGCATTGTAGTGTGAGGTCAGTCTTACTCCGCGGATCAGGAACTTGCGTGTTTGCAGAAAACATGAGCATCTGATCATTTTTGATCATTAATGTCTGTGCAACGTCGCGCATGTCGGCTCGAATAACCGAATGATCTGTACTGAAGAACCTCAGTTGGCGCCACCCTGTGCCGAACCGTCCACTTTGGGCGGACCACCAGCTTCGGGCGCTCGTCGATCGCTTATCTTGTCACGTATCGCTTAACGTCAATGCGCTTGTCCCTTTGGTGTTGTTGTGGTTATCATCATCATCGTCGTCGTCGTCTTCGCTCGATCAGCCGATGATATGGTGTGCCTGCTTAACGGGAGACCTGACATACCGTTGGACGGGTCCACATGATAGTCCACATCATTTGTCGGCGACTCGTACCAACTTGTTGCAGTTGCGAAGCCAACTCATTCTTGCATTCGGCATCTTACCTCTGTGTCAACCCTGCTGTGTGACTGTACTACCTTTCCCTGTTGTTTCTCCAATTTTGTATGTTCACATTCTCCTCATTTGTTGTCGATTGCTGTTCTTCTCATAGAAATTGACCAATAGGTCCACGATATTATGGTACCTGGGTACTACTTCAAGCAGCGATAACCAGAATCAAGTTCAGAACCTTATGATTCCTTACAGACACTTATACCTCTAGGTTATGGTGCTCAGCCAACAACATCGTGACAACCGTTTGGAATCCGGTTGATTATTGGTATGCTTTGGATCCGATCACATTTGAGTACTCTAACCCAGGTTTTATTACTTTGCTTCTTTTTGGAACACTTTCCACGCCTACCAATCTCACAATTCGGCCTTTGCAATCTTTAAAAAGTGACCAAAGGCTTTTGTTTCACCTCGTTTTTGTAAGCCTCTGCAAGCTCAAACACGCAAGTTGCACTCACTTCATCTTTTCTTTACTCTGTAGACGAAGCGAGAGCTCTGCAACCCGGCGACTCACGTGCTCTACCGCTGTCAGTGCTTGAAGAGTTCGAATCCACCATCGCTGTGACGCAAGAATTCCTCGGATGCTTGTGGGAGCGCTTGAGAGGTGGTGTTGCGCCGCTTCAGTCCGTGCCGGCTATCGCCGGCCCGTTGTGGATCTCCAACGCTTGGACTTGTATCGCGGAAGCCGTGGTCATCGCTGACCTGTTGCCAGTCACCAGTATGGAGATTGTGCATACTCTCAAGGTCACATTGGCTCTGCCCATGGGCCAAGCGTTCGACGCGAATATTGCCGATCCAGTGTTGAACAAAGCGTTGGGGGAGTTTGCTCGGCTGGACCACACACATCCCCATCTGGCCGCACAAACTCTGATCCAAGTATTTTTTACCTTTTCTCACCTGTGCCTCTGCTTCAAGCAGATTCATAGCTAGATATCGTGATCTTACTCTAATGAATGTATTAGGTTATTTGACGAATTGAACACTTATGTTGCTGTTCATCACGGATTTATGTTGGAGAAGAGACGACAAGTGGGTTATTCCGAATTAAGTAACACTTTTGACAAAACATTCAACACCTAGGTGCAAGCGGTACATGGCAGTGGTAACTGACTTCAGACCCTGCGGCACACAGGGACTTGTGAATTAGTAGTTAAACGACCCAAGCGACATGGACGGATGATTGACTGCGACTAACCTTGATATAGCTTAGTATCACTAATGGTGTCATATCTGTGAGCCATGTGAAAGGAAATCGTAACGTTCGTTGTAACAATTTTACAGAATATTAAGTTCTATACGGTTTAGCATCTAATTGAGTGCCGCTGCAGCGCACGCATTTGTACATGTGTCCACAAAATGTCACCCGTAGTCTAAGCGCATTGACGAGCAGCTCCACATATCGCTTAGCACACACATCAGTTTCTTTGTGGTGTGTGTGTGTGTGTGTGTGTGTGTGTGTGTACATCGGTTCATTTGTCACCTTTACGCCTGCCACATTTATCCAGACCTCTTGGAACAAGTTGAGCAATATGTTCGCATGTCACCGATTAATTCCCCGCCCCCGCAACCCACCGGCATAAAAGTTGAATGTTATGCCGTAAGCATAAGGTGTCGTCAGAGCTTGAACACTCGCGCGATGTTACACTTGTCACCATTGCATGGTTTTCAACTGTTGTGTGGCAGTTGTCTGATGGGCTTCATTAAAAGCTAACCCAATTCCCCACCTAAAGTTACTCCGTCGTGTTTGTTGCCCTTCACATACACTACTTCCTCCCACTGTCAATGTTTGGTTGCTACGACGCTTACAGCTTGCAAGCAGATTGCCCGTGAAGTGCTGAATTCGCAAACTGACATGTTCACATGTTTGCATTGTGAATTATTATTTCTGGCGTCTATACTTGGCCGTGTTTAAAGACAGCGCATATAGATTTTCGACACGGTACACGGCCATTTTCGTGTTGGGGGCTGGAAATGCTGCGCTGGTAAGATGACACACTTAGGTGCCAGTTGTTTAGCCATCGATCGAACTAAATGATTTCGGGCCAACACCCTGAAAGCTAGTCGATCGCTACAATAGGTAAACTGAAGACTAGTACGCAGTCGATTTGAATCGGTATGAACGATGCTCGAACGCTGGACGAGAATGTAATAGCAAGAGTATGTGTTTGTGAGTGGTTCTTATTAACGCGAGATATAAAATGAGCTTGTGTTCTATGAATAATAGATTTTTGATCGTGGCCCAGACTTTGACTTCTTGCTTCACGGAGAATCACTCGACAGTCCTGTTTCATGCTCGTAGCGTGTCCGACTTGTTCACCAGTACTCTTTATCCTCGTCTCCATTCCAGCTGTTCGCCTTATTCCTGGCCACCGAAGGAGGCCGGTCTGTGATCCGCAAATGGATCCTCCTCTCCTTGCCCACGCTGCTCGACCGGCAGCCAGCGCGACTGGCCATCTGGGCCACCTCCGTGTGCTTGCTGGCGGCCACAACTGATCCGACTTTACGTCTAGCGTATCCTTTCCACTCTATGCTCGCTGATTCACTTATGCATTTCCATTTTGATTTTAGGATAGTTTACGCTTATTTAACTGTTCATTATTAGCAATCTATCCCACGAATTGCCTCCTTTCCTCAACCGAGCCGTCACGCGTAGCACCATACTATGTGCCGATCCAGCAATGTTTCGTCCGTGTGAGACAGAAGCGGACCGACCCGTATCCAATCAAAGTCGCGCATCTAACATTCTCAGTGATTTGCTCTGCTTATCCGCGGTGCATTTCATTCGCTTTGGTTTACTGTGCAATACTTCCACGGGCGACGAAGTCCAAACGAAGCGCCGCGCTGAACAGCAGGCCGCATTCCTGCATGCTTTTGAGCAAATCGCTCAGCTGGACGCCACCTCTGCTATGCTCTCTCATATTCCGCACTGTCACATGGATCACGATGAGCAACGAACATTCCAGCGGGTCTATCGTCTACTCCATCGTGAGATGTGTGCAACGCACGATGCCAAGACCTCCAACAACATCGATATAGACGTACCGTCCGCCATTTGATAGATAGCCTCGTATGCAGCTGTCGCCTTATTGGTACTGCTCACGAAACTGTAATCGCTGCTTCTACACTTCCTGTGGTTAACCGCCGCACACACACACACACACCAACTGTTTCCCTTTGCGTACTGTGATATACCTCACATTCATATCGTCCAATGCCCTTGTCTCTCTCTTCTACTCTGAACAGTCCCCATTCGTATTTAATCACGTGTACTGCATTCCGACGGATGACCTCACTACCATTGCCTCTCCTGGAACACTTTGACCTAAACAGTGGTCACCGCGATCAGTCCGGCCCTCTCTTGGTCTGCGAACACTTCAAGCAACATGATAGTACACACACACACACAGTTAACTTCGCTTCGCTTCAGTTATCATCCCTATCTTCTCCACACATTTCTTGGACTCATCCTAATGGGGCATCCTCATTCTCATTTGTCTTTCGAACCTTGTCATATGGTCGATTTGTAATCAGTTCGCTCCATTTGTGGCTCCTGTCAGCACGCTCTTTGCAATACTTTCTTCTATTCGTTGGCCTCCTCAGTCAGAGCGCTCCTCTGAACTGCAATGTTCATGCTCATATCCAACCTTACATGGCTTTATCTCACTCGTTTTATACTCTGGACTGCTCATCACATTGACCGGTATTCACCACGGTGTACACAAACTCAGGTCTTCTCTTCTTGGATTCCTTTACCATATCTGTTGCATCGTCGTCCCCTGCGGATCCCACCCACTGCGATCATTAGAACACGAGACGAGCCGGGACTGCAGTATATCTGTCTCAATAGGCAATAGTGTTTTATAGGACGAAAATAATAACGGAACGTAAAACAACTCAACTATATCCAAACACGTCCGCACTTTGAACTGAACTGAACTGGTAGTGAACTGACATAGGTTTGCGCTGAATCTCAGATTGAGTTCCATTCAAATGCGGTAGATTTGCGCATTTGGTTAGAACAGATTGTATCGAACTTCCATCTATTGGGCTTAGTTGATTCTTCCTCCTATCAATCTCCATAGTATGACAGTTTCGCTGAGATTCACAACCGACCGAGCGAGCGCCTGTGGTGCGAAACATGAGTATTTGGATTACGTATCATGAATAAGAGCTATTGAAGTCTCTTTACTGCGTCATACTATCTACTGCTAGTTCGCTTCTTGATTTGCATGCGAAGCATAGTAGACACCGTCGTTCGATGCTGAGCGCTCCCAGCATCGCATCCTGCATGGGCATTCCGCAGTTCTGTGTCCGGGTTCATGGAGTGCTCGACCCAATTCTCAGCCGAACTAGCTAGAGATATCAGATCTATAACTGGGTGGCATATGGATGAGGACTCAGACTGATGGGGGCAGGCCCACACTCCTTCGGCACGCACATTGTTGATATGCAAGTAAGGAATTGGAGCAGTAGCCTATCTCGCATTGGGACTAACTTTTAAGCCTGACACTGTACCTCGTTTTCTTCAGCAACGGTTAGCAGTCTTCTGGAGCCAGTGATAGAGGTGGTGGTACTCGATAGGTAGGCGTCTTGTCAACATCCGCATCAAGTACAGCCTGGCCTAATCCATTCATCTAGGCCAGAGGGTCACTAAACTTGTCTTCACAATGGGCCTGTTAACTTACAAAATAACGAGCGCGGGTCACATAGCCATTCTGTATCATATTTGCAATCCAGAACGAAAAATAACAAAAATAACATGTTTCGTATGCTTTGTTGATCGTAAGTAAAAGATTTGTGATCGGTGAAGACGGTAAACGTGCGACCTTCTAAGACATGTCAAAAGTGACTTATGGCTACTTGGCTACTAGTTCTCTATCGAACGTGCTGTAAAGAGGTTTTCCAGGTGGCAGATGTTTGTTGAAAAGTGCCAACAGTTGTCAAATGTCACCGATCTTTTGCTGCGAGACTGCGCTGAGTGCCATCTCCGGGGCGTCTGTACTGAGCGACAGGGGCTGCCAGCACATGATTTTCTATAGAAGCTATGTTGGCCATGGCCTGTTTTAAAAATATGAAGGCATTGTTTGCTGCAGCAGGAAATTCGAATTTCTTGAGCTTCCCTCGGAGAAGGTTCATGTGAGGCTCCACAAGCGACGCGCAATTAGCTATGAAACTGCGGCCGGCCCGCGGCCTTAAGGATCACAGGCGTGTCTTATAATCCCGGGGGCGCGGGTTCGAGCTTAGGTAGGGACCGGGCGACTCTCGCAGTATCCTTAGCCCACGAGCGACTGATTCTGCCTGCGCTGCAACGAAGCGTCGGTACTGCGTACGGGCGTTCTACTGATACCTTTCTTCTTTCTGCTTTTCTTTATAAAACGACGACAAAAGTCCACGAAGATGTCAAAACATCTGAGCTGTTTAAACGAATTAGGCTCAGGTTAATCGGTGGTGGCCTTAATTTCATCCTGTGTTGCACTACGTCTCCAGTAGAGTTATAATGGCCAGGAAAACTGAACGAATTGACATCGAATGAACACTTTTCTGCGCTGACCGTCGCAAAATGTTGGGATAAACAGTCCACATGTCCGCACTTGGCACAAGTGCCCTTTACTTGATGAGCTCGCGGTTGCGATTTCGTCGAGATAAACATAGGCGATATCTAAGTCTAAATAAGACAATGAGAAGACTGGTATTGCGAGATGGAACCATTTCGTGTTATCGGCTCACTCGCAAACTAACAACATAAATATGGATCACGTGACAGAAAAATCGAATGGTCACAAAGGAAAATTACGTAGACGCAAGAATAACAGCTCGACGAGCTTGGTCTTAGGGTCCTGAGCCCCAAGGAAGCTTTAGGGAGACTGTTAATTGTTTCTGTACACAAAGGATAGGGCGATGCCGGTTAAGTGCCACCGCATCGGCAAACCTCAACACTTTGGGGTTGTCATTTCGATAGATAACTGTAAATGTTGACCCAGGGTCAACCCGATGGCCTGTTTCGAGCAGATGTCTGGCGATAGATGATGCCGGCAACTTAGATACCTTTTCTCGTTCGGCTGCTTGTTGTGTCGATAGTGTAGCAATCCGTTTTAGGATATGCTCTCCAATTCGCTTACCCAAGGATCGATCTGTTCTGCCAGTGTAACTACTTCCGCAGTTACAAACGAATTGGTAAATACAATGGGTTGTCATCATCATCATTATACACGTCAGCTAGAGGTGGGAAACACCTCAGCTACTGTGCCGCAATATATAAAGGAAAAGGAAAATAACTACAACAGTTGCATGCCAGCTGAGCTACCAGCAACGGATAGACATCGTTCCGGTAAGCTACCAGCCGGCTACTAGGCAAAAAGAAAAATTATTATGTTTTACGCTACGAAATGAGATCGTAGGTGGACGGGAGGCTAAAAGGGATGGGGAGGGACAAAGAAACTCACAGCAGGAACGCCACTGAGGTCGGCTCCTTGCCATGTCAGCAGGTGTATCTAGCCAAACGTGTTCATCGTCTTTTGGACCCCAACCAGGGAACCGTTACGCTCCAACCGAGGCCAGATCCGAAGTGAGGGCCTTCATTCCTCTGGACCAAGTCATCGCTTGGCCACCCCTCCTCTTTTTCCATCCACATCCCCGGTGAGCAAACAACGCACGTCGTGGAAGTCGGTGGGCTGGCATGCGCAACACGTGGCCTAGCCATCGGAGCCTGGTGCGTGAAATAACGGTGCTGAACGGTTCAGATCCTTTTCCTGGGCCGTAAACGAGGCGTCGAACACGCTCGTTACTCACGCGGTGTTCCCACCAGATGTGAGCCAAACTGCGAAGGCACCGATGGTCGAACGTAACTAACCTCTTTATGTCCACCGATCTTAGGGGCCAGGTTTCGCTATCGTACAGTAAGGTCGAATGTACCGCTGCACTGTACACTCTACCCTTCAAGGCGGGAGTAATGTCGCGCCGCCGCCATAGGTGGCGAAGGTTAGCAAAAGCACTCCGAGATTTCGCTATACGGTTCGTGATCTCGTCTTCGATCCCAAGGGCGATAATACAACTTCCCAGGTAGTTGAATTTCTGAACGACTTCTAACTGATCCCCACCAAGGGTCAGCGCAGGAGGCGATCCCTGCCAATCTTGGAGGAACGCTTTGCACTTCGATGGTGCAAAGCAAATCCCGAAGCGGCTGACAGCCATTGCTAATCTGTCCAGCGCGGCTTGGCACGTCTGGGAGCTGTCACAGATGAGGGAAATGTCGTCTGCATACTCTAAGTCAAGAAGTCGTTCTCCTGGGAGTAGCTCCACACCTTCCAAGTCATGTCCTGTAAATGCAAACTCCATGACTTCGTCAATAGCGAAATTGAAGAGGAAAGGTGACAGCGGGCATCCTTGTCTCACACCGCTGGAGATATTGAAGGGTGACGACAGCTTGCCGTAAGCCCTCACTCTGCCCGTGCTACGCGTGTATAATGCTGGGATAATATTTACATATTTCTCGGGCACACCTTTCCTGAGTAGACAATTCCAAAGAGCACATCGATCAACTGAATCGAAGGCATCTTTGATGTCGAGGAACACGACTACGGTGGGCCGCCAATATGTGTGACGTTGCTGCAACAACTGACTCAAGGTGAAGATGTGGTCAATGCAGCCACGACCCCGACGAAACCCGGCTTGCTCCTCACGAATCTGGCTTTCACGAGCGTTAGTCTATCTGTGAAGGATTTTGGAGGCGATGGAGATCAGACTGATTCCTCTATGGTTGCCCCATTCCGAACGCAAGCCTGCTTTGGAGATGGGAACAATAACGGAGCGGCTCCAGTCGGTTGGGAGTCTCCTGCTCCCACAGTTTGACTAGTAATTCATGTAAAGCATCAACAAGAGTGGAGCCTCCGAATTCGAAGTGGGCTGGAGGAAGATCATTTACTCCCGCGGCTTTGTTCAACTTCAACAGTCCGATCTCACGTTTGACTTCTGAGCGAGAGGGTGGATCCAAAGGGACAGCCCACGGAGCAGGACGATCACTGGCCGGCGAAGAATCGAACAATTCTAGCCGATTAAATTGCCTTTCAAAATGCTCAGCCCAACGCTCCAAACGTTTTGACAAGTTGTGAATAGGCTGTCCACTTTCGTCACGTATAGTTTCACTAACACCAGGTCTTCTGCTGCCCGTTTCCCGTATCAGCCGGAATAACTTACGATGTTTGCCAAGGGCAGCGGCCGCTTCCATCTCTGACGCACGATGAGACCACCAAGATTCGCGGTCTCTCTTCAGGCTAGCACGGAGTCTTGCCCGGAGCTCTTTGTGAGTTTCATTGTGTTCGCTTCCAGCCGGGATATGCCGGCGAACGTCGATAAGTTGCGGAGACCGCGAAGAGACCAATATCCATGTTGGCTATTAGACATACCACATGAGGATTTGCCTGCTGCTAATAAGGTCTGGCGAACATGTGACCAGTGACCATCAATTGTCTCCAGTGAGCGCTTACTCAACTCGCATGACAGCGTACTTCGATACGCATTCAGAACAGCTGGTTTTGTCAGTTGGCTGGTGTCAATGCGCCCACAGCGTCGTCGTGGGCGTCCACCAAAACACAGCTGCATGTCAGCACATACAAGTGCATAGTCGGTGTCCACACATGTGCTCCAGATCGAGCGACAGTTCTGGATGCAGCCTCTTCAGCGGTAACTGATAGCAATGTGATCGATCTGCGTTCAAGGCTGGTTCGAG